CGCCCGCGTCCCGTGTGAAGGTGAACGGAGCAGAGGCCTGCGCAGGGCATTAATTAATTAATTAATTAAATAGCATTAACGCTGCTGCGCGGGTCTGCGCCGGGAGCCTGGCTTGGGGCGCAAGGTGATTTACTCATTGCCGCAGGTTTCAGGGTTTTTTTACAGTGGCATATATGTTGCCCATAGCAAAAGAGCTGCAGTTAATTTATTTTTTTTTTAGCAGACACGTTGTTATTTCTTCCTTGCGCAGAACCCTGAGGGCTGTGATGATTCCTCTGTGTCCCAAGGCTCTGGTGGTTAGCACAGAAATAAAATGAGAGGTTTTGCTGTGGGGGCTGCCGCAGTGCTCGATAGCAACGTCAGTGTGCTGCAGAAAAGCGCAACAAAGGATTTAAAGCAATGACTTTCGCCGTCTGCCCTTGCTCAGTGGTGCTGGGCCTGGTTCCATAGCTGGTTCCTCAGCTCCGTCACTGTGCACCGACAGAGCTCAGAGCTCAGACACGTGAAATGTATAAGCTCGTGGGCAAAAATGTTGGTGTTACCGCTTAACACACCGAGGAGATTTCACTGTTACTGAAACAATGATTTATTTTAGGTTTCCAGAAATACCTTGGGTGCAGCATTCGTTGCTACAAGAAACCTCCATGCCTCCAAAGCTTGCTTTCAGAAAACTGGTGAGTCTGAGAAATGTCTCGCCTGTGGTTTAATAGCTTGATCTGTGAGACAAAAGGGAATGTGAATGTGGTATGTGTGAGTTGACAGAACTCAAGGACGTTTTTGTAATGATAGTCTGTATCAGTGAGCTGTAACAGTGAGCTGTTGCACAGTCACGACCTGCAAACTGCGCTTTAATAACTTCAGCATGAGCCCGGAGCAGGGAGAGGCCATGTGTCAGCTGGCTTGCACTGCTTACCTGCTTCCTGAGGGTTTGATTCAGTCTTCACCTCCTGTGGAATTACTTGAAAGAATTGCCACAAATCCAAGTTTCCTTCCTTTTCAAGTCCCCTTGAAATTTCCTGCTTGTGTCGATGTGGAGGGACAGGTGACTTTCCCAAGCCTGCCTGGGTTTGACCTTGTGTCCTTGAGCATGGCTCTTGCTGCCACCATTTTGGTGCTTAGAGAAGACATGGGCACTGTGTAGCTATGATTTTAGCAGTAGTACATTTTTGAAGTGGTTTATATTATTGGGAAGTAACAGTTTCACAGCATTATTGTTTCTTAGCTGTGGAAGTAAAGGGTGATTGGAGGTACACAGCCAAACAAATTTGAGGAAGATGGGGAACATGTATTTTTACAGTTCATATTGAACGTCTTGCTCCTTAAATGTATGGAGTTCTTTTAGATATGTTTGGATTTTGGATTACAAATCAATTGGCAGCGGCAGCGTCATTTGGTGCATGCAGGTTAAAAGAACTGCACTACAAGAAGAGTGAGCATGCCTGTTCTCTCTGAGCTAAGGCTAATTAATTAATCTAATTGCTTCCTAGGGAGAGATTGCTAGTAGTGTAGAATGTGCTGAAAGGAATTGATTAATTAATGACCACTTGTGTTTTGTTTGAGGCTGTAACGGTGGCTTGAAGCTGCTTTTATTAGCTGGGAATACCATTTGTCTTAGGCACTCAAAGTGAAGGCCTTGCTTGCTGGACTTGAGAAGTCCAAGTACACTTGAGAAGGGGCATCTTGGCCTGTGAATTCAAGGCAAGCTCACTGAGCTCACAGTTAGCCTCCATGTGCTAAATCTGGTTTTAAATGCCTCTTTCCAGGTACTGCTGAAGTATCCTCTATTCTTGAGGAGCGTATTTTGGGAGCTGACACCTCTGCTGAGTTGGAGGAGACAGGCCGTGTGCTCTCAATCGGTGATGGGATTGCCCGTGTGTATGGGCTGAGGAATGTCCAGGCTGAGGAGATGGTGGAATTCTCTTCTGGACTGAAGGTAAGCTGTCTCTAAAACAGTCTGTTTAGCACAGTGATATAAAAAAAGGCTTTTTAAGGAGAGTGTGAGACTATGCTTGGAGATGCCCATATGGACATTGTACCATCTTCATTGTAGCTTTAATACATAGTAACTAGTGGAAGTAATTACTAAAAATTACTTTTTTTCTTAATTTGTAATGTTTCTCTTTCAGTTACAGTGTCTGGTACTCAGCCAACATTTGAGCTTTTTTTTTGTCTTCTTCTGGGATGTACAAGGACTAATCTGGTGTTGGATGTTGTTTTCTTCATTTTCAGGGTGGCTTTCCTGTTTACTGTTGAGTAATAGCCTCCCTGCTCCAATATGATGTAAAGCATGCTGGCTGCTTGTAGTTCTAAGAGTGGGATGGAGTTAAAAAGCTGCCTTGAGTGTTCTGAGAGTACTGCAAGAGCTCTTCCAGCATTTTTCATGAGCTGCCTTACCTTGGGAGCAGAAGAAGCCAGTGCTTTTCCTTTGTTCAGCTCCTCAGCAAGAGAGAAATGCTGTACTTGAACCCTGCTTATCCTTTCTGCTCCTTTTAGAGAGATAAGTGCTAGACTGATGTAGTATAATTATGTGGTAATTTGAAAGCTTAGGAGACTCTTTTAACCACTGCGGAAGAAAATCCATGCTTTGTACATAAAAGCAGAACATTGACTATTGTTGCAAATGACATTGAGGTAGATTATGTTGGATTTTGTACACAGTAGAATAGTCTGTGATGTTACTGAACTGTTCCAGTTTTCCTAAGGGTCTGTATGGGTTTTCTCAGGATAATGTGGTCTTTGTCCTAGGGTATGTCCTTGAATTTGGAGCCAGACAATGTTGGTGTTGTCGTATTTGGTAATGACAGACTGATCAAGGAGGGGGATGTTGTGAAGAGGACTGGTGCCATTGTGGATGTTCCAGTTGGGGAAGAGCTGCTGGGCCGTGTTGTAGATGCTCTCGGCAATCCAATTGATGGGAAGGTAAGTGTAGCTAGATGTTTGCTAGCTCTGCTTGTACCTGTGATAGAGACTGCAACAGTCTTTTCCTCTCTTTTAAGGGCCCTGTTGGATCTAAGATACGTAGGAGAGTTGGCTTGAAGGCCCCTGGGATCATTCCCAGAATCTCTGTGCGTGAGCCTATGCAGACTGGGATTAAGGCTGTGGACAGCTTGGTGCCCATTGGTCGTGGCCAGCGTGAGCTGATCATCGGTGACAGGCAGACTGGGTAAGTTAAATGCACAAGCCTTGAATGTGCCCTTAAACGGAGACCAGAGTGCAGCAGGCACCAATGTGCAGAGCTGAGCACAGGACGGGGCAGTTGGTGGAGAGTCCAGGCAGCTCAACTTAGCAGCCTCTGTGTTCCACAGGAAAACTTCCATTGCAATTGACACAATAATCAACCAGAAGCGATTCAATGAAGGAACGGATGAGAAGAAGAAGCTGTACTGTATATATGTTGCAATTGGCCAGAAGAGGTCGACTGTAGCTCAGCTGGTGAAGAGGCTTACTGATGCAGGTACAGATTTTTGAAGGTGGTTCAGCCTGGCACCCAGTGACATCCTGTTCTCATTATAATGCTGAATGCTGCTGTGACCTCTCCTGGCTGCAAGCATAGACAGAGTTCATATTAAATGACTGAGTTACTTGCTTCTGTAGGCAAGAAATCTTTATAGGTGTCTGGGGAAAATACCATTTTTGCTACATGTTATTAGAAGACCATTTTGAGGTCCCCAGACTGCTGAATTGCTTCTGGAAAACTCAGCCTGTGGTAGTTTTTTTTTAAAAACAGAGTTTTAAAACAGAGTTGAGAGCTTCCTCTTGACAGCCAGGCAGGCCTGATGACAAGATCTGGCTTACAAGTATTTATGGATTTGGCATTCACTTCGTGTGTATGCAAGTCTGTGTGAATGACAGCTGCAAATTTAGTGCCAAGCCTTTACGGCCCAAACACAAGGGGTTAAGTGATAGCATCTCTTCAGAATCAGTGGTCTCTAACAGCTTGCAAGAGGTTGGGCACCTGTGATTTTGCCTGCTGGTCAAGCAGAGTCACACCTGTCATGAAACAAATGCCACACTTTAAGGACAATAATTTGTTTGAGACTGTAAAATAAAAGGTAATACTGCCTTGCAGCAGTAAGAAAACCACAGACTTTCAGGCTGAATTGCTTCTAGAACAAAAGTGTGTCTCAGCGAAAGCTTAAACTTCATTTTAAATATGAAAGAAGCCTGCAGGTATTCGATGATAGCTGCCACAGACTTGGTTTTGAGACTTGCAGAGTGATCTGAGCTAACACGTGTTAAGCTGGGACAGTGGGCTGATCTGTAGCAATGCAGTGGTGCTGCCTGGGCTTGCTTCAGCACTTGTACTTGACATGTGTGTTCTGTTAGCTGATTTTGGGTGTGATGAGGTGATGCACTCAGCGGTGTATGTCTCTGATTCTTTCTAGATGCCATGAAGTACACTATTGTGGTGTCAGCCACAGCATCTGATGCAGCACCCCTTCAGTATCTGGCTCCCTATTCAGGCTGCTCCATGGGGGAATTCTTCAGAGACAACGGGAAGCACGCGTTAATCATCTATGATGATTTGTCCAAACAGGTCAGGAAATGTTTGTAGGTCTGGTGGTCTCGCCTTGGTGTTTGTAGCTGTAAGATCACCTCAGGTTTAGAAATCCCAAATGTTACATGAGCTGCTGAAGTCATAAAACTCTTTACACCATGCAGGCTGTTGCCTACCGCCAGATGTCTCTGCTGCTGCGTCGTCCACCTGGTCGTGAAGCCTACCCAGGTGATGTGTTCTACCTGCACTCTCGTCTGCTGGAGAGAGCAGCCAAAATGAATGACTCCTTTGGAGGTGGCTCTTTGACTGCCTTGCCTGTCATTGAGACTCAGGCTGGTGATGTGTCTGCTTACATTCCAACCAATGTCATCTCTATCACCGATGGACAGGTGAGTCTCCTTCACATCCCAGTACGCCTGTGTAACTTACTGGCCAGTTTCTGAGGAGGCTTCCAGGCTTATGAACAAGATAGTAAACCAGTTCTCTCCTACAGATTTTCTTGGAAACTGAGTTGTTCTACAAAGGTATCCGTCCAGCCATCAATGTTGGTCTCTCTGTATCCCGTGTAGGCTCTGCTGCTCAGACCAGGGCTATGAAGCAGGTAAGCTTGAAACTGCTGTTCCTCCTTGTGCTGGAGTTGAGCAGTGTGTAGGCCTTCAACTCATTTCACTCTAAAGAGCTGTGAACAGAGAGAGAATAGAGCTTTGGATTCTTTAATGTTCTGAAGTTACAAAAGAGCAAACCTTGGCGATCTCTTTGATACCTCCATTGCCTACTGAGAGAGGTGGGGGAAAAAGGAAAATCGTTTCCTGCATAAAGATGTATGAATGCTGAACTGGGTATTGATCTAACTAGAAGTAAAAAAATGTTGTTTTAACCCCAGGCTTATAGTCCATCTATGGAATTAGAGAGGTTTAATATAACTCTTTATCGTTTAGGGGAGAAATAGCATACTTTTGTTAAAAGGTGGGAATTTTAGAAATGTGTATTATCTGTCCATCTGTAGATTCACTTGTCTGGTACACAAGGCAAAGCTGCCTGGTGACCACTGTCAGCTGCATACTTCCAGGCACACTTAAATGTGATCAAACTCAGTCTGACTGCAGTACCCTGTGTTGCAGGTGGCAGGTACCATGAAGCTGGAGTTAGCTCAGTACCGGGAGGTGGCTGCCTTTGCCCAGTTTGGCTCTGACCTGGATGCTGCCACGCAGGAGCTGCCGAACCGCGGTGTGCG